ATCACATCGTGTTGGTGTAAGTCCGTAATCTATATGTGTCCCGTGATTCTAACCTCGTAATGTGACTCCTGTATGTCGATTTGAGTTTGATGTTTGTGAAGATGTGGCCGTAGTATAAATATAGAGGAATAGGTCCTTAATGTAAAGTCATGAATTTCGTCAAAGTTCTTGAGTGTTCATGTCTGTTAAAGTGAGTATCATGGAAGTGGTGATAGTGTCCTAGTGTAGGTGAATGTTATTTCCAGAGTCATATTGTCCGCTGTAGTCGTAAAATTTTGAAATCTGTCTAGGAGTTAGGCATGATGTCAATCAAAGTGTTGAATCTTTTGAAAGACGGAGAGATGAACTTAATGAGATCCCTTCAGTGTTCTCGTTGTTCAAATTCACGGTCATGAAGTGAGCTAAATTGGTGGAAGTTGGACGTATCTTAAATAGAATGTTATTTATTTCGTCTGTGTTCTGGAGTCTTCATGTCTCGTAAAACAGGCGTCCTTCTGTCAGTCTTATTTCTATAGTCTTTATGCCTCCGTGAGAAACACTGAATGAAAAAGTTAGTCTTAGTCCTGCTTTCTTTCTGTATCTAAAAGTCATAATCACAAAGTCAGTCTTAGTCATCGAGTCTGTGTGTTTTTTTTTAGTAAGAGTCGTAAAGTCAGTCTTGTTTGTTAGAGTCTTGACATCTCTTAAAGCTATCGTCATGAAGTCAGTTAAAGATTTCACGTTTTCATGTCTCTCACAGCCATTGCCATGAAGTTAATGAATGTCATGAGGTCTTATGTCCTGTCAAACTCAAAGTCACCAACTCAAGTGGATTGCTATAGTGGTGAAAGCTTTTTGTGTATTGAAGTCAAAGTCTTTAATGCAGTCTGACTTCTGGTTTCCGTATTGCTGTTGAAGGCAGAATGTTGGTGTCTTCAGTTTTGTTACCCGTGAACTACAATTCTTGTGTTCGCTTTTTTTCTGGTTATTTACCGGATCAGTTGGAAAAACTGTATCTTGCGTTGTGAAGCAATACAAATCTACCGTTTTTCTCAGAACGTTTTCAAGATATTTTATTTTGTTTATGTCTTCAAACAGACAATTCATGAAAACGTCAACTTGCTTTTGAAACGATAGGTCATGGCATTCTTTCTAATAGGTGAACGCAGAGATTCTTGTAACTTGTGCTAATAAATTTGAAGAGAGCTAAAGGGAAAGGTGTATGGGAATTTATAGTTTCTCACTGTCCAGAATTTGTTTTTTTTCTTTAGCTAAACAACAATTACATTTCGCAGACCTTTCATTCTTTTCAACTATTTTCGAACTGAAAATGCTCATTTTATTGAGGTGATGGTATTCAGAAATGAGTTTTTGTACATATGATTTGATTTAGATAGTAAATATGTTCTTTTTAAAGTGCTTAAATCGGTATGAAAGTGAGAAACTATCACATCTGAGACATCTTTTTTTTTGGCTTACTCCAAATCTATTAGTACAAACCAAGAGGATCTTTTATTTTGACTATCGTACAAAATATCACGACGCATAATTTGAAAAAATTTAAGATTTTATCATTTACATTTTGTGGAGATGTATGGAGAATAAATTATGTTTCAAACACTCCGAGACATTTAGTATTTATGTTACATTCTCTCGCAAATGAAGATTTCTTCATGCTTTCCATCATTCCTCTCCTATGAATCTTCTGTATAAATCGGTTGAAAGGATTCTCAAACGGCTCAAACTTGCACTATATTCTGTTGCAATCTGTTGATAAGGATGATAATGCCTGTACTTGGATGAAACATAAATGAATGAAGAAGGAGAAAGACAGCATTCTTTGATTAATCTGGCAATTTAATGCAGCTCTTCGATCTCCACAGTGAAATTTGTCGTAATCTATTCAAGTTTTTAGGTATTGAAAGATGTAATACCAAGTCGAAATTTTCTCAGGAACAATGCATTTTCTTTTGAATTCTCAGAGTTCTAATGCTTTTACACAACAATTCCACATAAATTGAATAAGGTTTATATCATGCATGTCGTGCAATTCCTAGACTTTTAAAATAGCGATCGTAACATTAGAATAAAAAAGAAGACATCCGAATGCTATTTCTATGTTTGAGAATACTGGATAGGTTTCCGGAGCTTTTTTCGGAAACGCAAGGGTTTTCTGAAAATTCGAAAACTCTGAAGGGTTTCCAATAGATGTTTGGAAACGCTTCCACCGCTTTCGATGCTCGGAAACCCAAAAAGGTTTTCGATAAAAACAATATCGAAAACGCAAAGGTTTTCGAGAAGGTTTTTAAATCAGAGAAGGTTTTCGGGGATAACTTTCGGTTTTCAAAAAGAGCACTAGGGTTTCTGAGAATACGGTTGAGAGTTTCCGGACCTATATTTCGAAAACTCATAGGTTTTCGGATACTCGGAAACCCTGAAGGTATTTTCAGAAACTCAACATGAGTCCGGAAACCTTCCCAGATACATTCAAGGGTTTTGAAAACGGTTTCCGAAGGGGTCTCGGTTTCTGAGAAAACGTTTTTTTTTAGAGTGTATGATAGGTTTGGAGATTCTCTGTCGCGGTCTGTGATAGTCTCTGGGAATTCTCTGTCACGATCCGTGGTAGTATCTGGAGGTTCTCTGTCACTGTCTGTGACTGCCTCTTTGTGATCTCTGTCACAGTGTGTGATGGGTTTGGAGCTGCTTTGTCGCGGCCTATGATGGTCTATGAGGGTTCTCTGTCACGGTCTGTGGAGCTTCTCTGTCAGGGTCCATGATGGGTTCAGAGATATCCCTGTCATTATCGGTGATGATCTCTTAGTGTCCTCTGTCATGGTCTCTAATGATTTCTGGAGTTCCTCAGTCACGGTATGTAATGGGTTTGGAGCTTCTCTGTCACGGTCTATGATGGGTTTGGAGTCTCTCTGTCATGGTCTGTGATGGGTATGAAATTTCTCTGTCATAGTCTGTGGGTGGAGCTGGGGGAGTGAGTCCAAAATTTCTATCCGATATACTTCAACACTTCTTTCAGATTATCTTTCATAAAATATTAATTCTTTTTATCGTAAAAGATATTCGATGAAGATCAGAATATCTGACTGAGTAAGAAAAAAGAAAACCTAAACGAAAATATCTGCTTTTTCTTCACAATGAATACTGAATTACAAGTAAAATAAAATACTGAAGAGCAGCAGAAAATATCTGAAAGAAAATATTTCATATATAATGAACGATACCGTTATCTTCAGAATAACTGACAGAACATAAGAAGAAAGAGTTAAACAACGAAATTTTATTCTCTTTCTAACAACACACTCAATAAAAATCACAATATCGAACTGAGAAAGAATGAAAACAGGGTAAAGAAAATATTTCAGTGTTCTGTATAATAGATACTGAATTATGAGCAGGATAGTTAATTGAAAAATAGCGAAAAGAAGGAAAGGAATATATTCAACTCTTCTTCGGAGAAAAAAGGAAAAGGAGAGAAATGAAAATATTCAATTGTTTTTCAGACAATAGTCACTCAACTATAATCAGAATAGGAGAATTACTGTAAACAACACGAGTCAATGAAAATATTTTATATTTTCAGTCACAATAGATACTTAATAAAAGTGAGGATCACAAAATGAAGAGATATGAGAAATACGGCAACTAGTTATTTTTTAGCCGATGACTGTTGGAAGATATTGAATGATCATTGGGATAACTCAATTAGAAAAAAGAAAATGAAATTAACTAACCTGTGTAATTATGCTGTTTTTGAATAGGTCTTAGGTCATTGTTTTAATGCCAGAGTTTGTTGGATGTTTGATCGAAAAGGTTTTTGGATGAAGTAAAGAATTGGTTTGTGTTAAGTAGGTGTTTTTGCCAGTACCATTCTGTTGAGTGCATGTGTCGATATGAAACTGAGATGCTAACAAACGTTCTGTTCCTATATGTTGGCAAGGTTCACATTTTTTTGTTTGATAATTGAATTAAGTGAATAACGAGATACGTGTTCATTGAAGAGTTAGAATATATTTCAGCTGATGTGTTTTTTCGTATGATTGAGTTGTTTGTAAGATGTTGGAATTGGCTGATTGGAAAAATTTATGCTCTGTGCATGATTCACTTGTATAATGCGAATATTTGACCTATTGGGTTTGATGGCTATAGAAACTAATTTTTAGAATTAGTGTTCAGATAAATGGGTGTTTTTAATGTTTTTTGATATAAAAAAATGAACAAAATAAAATACTGGTTTATGTCGGTTTTATTTTGTGTAAAGCTCTTTTAAGAAAAATACGTAAAAGATAAAGAAAAAAATTTATGTACTGAAGAACTTTACTCTAACATCAATGTTTGCGCTTGTCTTGTGAATAACTAGAATTTGATTTTGCATCAATCAGTGGAGTAGCACCATCCTGAGTATCTTGCTGGTTCTTTTTACTGTCGGATGTAAATGATTTATTGTTCTCGTTTATTACATTTTCAAGCCTTCCTTGGTAATTTTCGACGAAGTGCTTCCAGATTTCGATAGCTTAGCAACAATGATAATACTTCTCCGGAATTGCTATTATTATTGAAGCAATGTTGAACGAAATTAGAAATTTTGTGAAATCCGCAGATGATGAAAGCGAAGCTCACTCATTTGTAATAACATGTTGAAATTTGAATCAAAGCTAGTTTCAGAAGAACTCGCTACTGATATTGAATTATTATTCAAATAATCGTGTTGAATTGACAAACTGCATCGTGTAATTCTTTTAGGTACTCATTTCGACGCAAAACAATCCAACTGTATTCCTTTGCTTAACATAAGTGGCTTACATACACCAAGTTTATTCGACTAATCGCAGGACTGTCTGATAGATGAGGTTATCAATCTACGATAATCGAAACCGTTTTAGGGAAAATGCTAGCCTTCTCTCAGGTAAAAGATCAGTGATAACTGCAAGCAGCTAAATATATATAATATCATCCTCATAACACATCTGAAAAGAAGGATTTTGGTAAAACTTGTTATCATCGTACACTTAACTTTCTTTATATAAATACTCATGAACTTTCTGATAAGCACCTAGAGTAATTTACGACTAAAAGTGAAGAAATAAATCATTTTACTCACTTGAGAAAGTCGTAGACAAATCTAGCCTTAAACATAGAATAAACTATGCTGAAACTTAGAGTTATCTACTCTGCAATGTAAAATAGTTAATCCGTTTTGTTTAGTCGTAGAATTATCTATCCCAATACAAGAATAATAAACCGTTTTCCCGATAATGGTAAAATAAACTAGCTTCAGACATAGGATAGTAAACCCTATTTTCTAATTGTAGAATTATCTACGCTTATGCGTAGAATAATCGACCACTATGCTCTTGTAAACATAGAATGACAAATCCTTTTTGCCATAATCGTAGAATAATTTAGCTTTCTGCGTGGAATACAAGCGCTTGTGTCCGCAGTGGTAGAATGATCTATCTTTATATGTAAAATGATAAACTTTTCTTCTGTATTCGTAGAATAATCTACATTTATGCGTAGCATAGTAAATCCTTCTCTTCATAATCGTAGAATAATTTATCTTTCTGCGTGGAGTGATAAACCAATTTGTTCATAATGGCAGAAGGATCTACCCCAGTGTTTTCTACTGCCGCAATGGTCTTTTCGATCTTCTTAATTCTTTTCTCGAATGATTTTAGAAGACGACTTGTTGTTTCTTCAATAATCTTTTCCATTTTACTAGAAAGAATGTTAACTAGTTTATCCAAGATATCACTATTTAAATGTTCTTGTTGACATTTTATGATGCTGGGGTATGATGTAAATTCTTGTAGATCATTTAATAATGGTATTGATGTTGCCGTATACGATGTCGTATATTGATTGACCATATTTTGCAGTCTTTTTTCTTGTTCTATATACTTGGAACAGTCATTAGAAGTAGCTAAATGATTACCTTTACAATTGTAGCATTTCAACAAATCCGGAGCAGCACTACATTGATCCATATGATGGTTCTCACCACATCGAGCACATATCTGTTGCTTGGTTTTGCAGTACTTTGCTACATGATTGTATTTAAGACATAGATAACATTGTACAGGTTTGGTGTTTTGTGTTGCTGGTTCAGCTGGAAAATGTATTGAATCAACTTGTAAACCGGAATGTATGAATGTATTACGATTTTGTGGATCAATAAACGTAATTTTGATGGTTGTAGTTGGCATGTTTTTGACTTTATTTGTAAGTCGAACAACATCTACAGCATCGAGTCCAACGTCCTTCAATGCTTCAGTTATTCGACTTTCAGGAATTTCGATGTCGACGTTTTTTACAAACGCGACGTTTTCTGTATCTTTGATACGTTGAATGGATCGGAGCATATATATTTTTGCTGTAGCCTGTCCATTTGTTGCAAGAATTGGTGTCAACTCATTTAATAGACGATCAAATGAATTCACATCGATTGCATATAGTGTAAAAATTCCTGATCGACTTAGCTGAATATCAGAAATTCGTAAGTCCTTTAAGTGCTGTTTTATAATATCATCTAGTTGCAATTTATTTAGCGTTACGCCCTCTAGAATTAGAGGAGCGATGCTAAAATTTGGTTGCTTTTCCAGGCCTGCCTTTGTTCCTGCAGAAGCCTTTGTTCTTGGATTATGACTCATCGCCATTGTTCCTCCAACATCAGCTACTGCTGTTTGACCTTGTTGTGCATTAATAGAATTAATGCTATTTTGCCTTTGTCTAGTTGCACCTGTTCCTCCTTTTTTTGGTAGCATAATTAAGATAAAACCTAATGTAAAACCACCTGGAGATGATTACCTTAATTAATATTTCCAAAAATAATTTGAAAATTGTGCGAAATAATTAATTAATGACAAAGATAAAATCGACGAGTTAAACAAAGAAATGTACGTAACCGACGAAAATAAGATGCGACTTATTTCGATCGTGTAAAAGTGACGAATGAATTACAATATTGAAACATACACAATAACGATAACAGTTACTTTCTCAGTCTATCGATTTTCAGAATGACAAAATCTGTAGAAATCTCCACTTCAGCTTTCAACATTTTTACTTTCGATCAAAGTTAAGATAATCCAAATCTCTCCTTTTGAACCTTGCAGTCTTGGTGATAGTCTACAATAGCATCGTTTAGATTTATCACAAAACGAGAGAATATTCCAAATCAATCAAGTTTTTAAAGAAAAAGCTTTAAATCTTGCAAAGATAACCTCGTCCAAAAAAATCAAATCTAGCGATTACTTATAAGAACATAGACAAAATATTTCACTACTTGCATATTTTGCAGACACCCAATTCCAATTAAACAAAATTCGTTACCTCAAAATCATTCTCAACTTCAGTTATATTGGAATCACCTTACCAAAGCTCGGTCAACTCTAGGGAACTCCGTCTAGATTTCGATACTATTCCTCTGTCAAGAAAAATTTCGGCTCCGAGAATTTGTCATGACTTGATGGTTCTTGGTAATATGCTCTAAATACATTGTGACACATTGATTTCATTATGAAGTGATCAGAGTTTTATAGAAGTTTGAATGTTACAGAAATTCGAAGAGAGAACCTATTTATTCACATTGTTCTCGAGATATGTTTTGTCTTTACTTGCTCTTAGATCGAAGACTTCTCAGCCATTTTAAAAGTAAGAAAGCTTGAAAAAACTGTAAAAGTGTAGTTCAATGTAGCCACTATAGTTTAATAGAGCAAGGCTTTTGTTGCATGAACTCACATATCAGACAAACGAATATTCAACTTAGACAGAACAAACTATTAAGGATGTTTCAATGGTAATGTTTTCGCTTAACTAGAGTTATGTTCTCTTGAACACCAATCCGACAGCTAGTTGTAGCTATACTTACACAAGTTTTCTAAAAGATGAGCATTGGCTTTCCATGAATTGACTGATTAGTACATCTCTCTATTCGGCGGTAATGATATATGATGAGATGTACTAACAGTAGGGGCAGTAATAACCACTCAAATACTAGATGATCTAAAACAGAAACCGTTGGTTAAAAATTAGATGAGCATCATTTCCATACGAGTAGTAAAAGAGACATACAGTGACCTATTGATAGACAAAAATAAATGCACATATGTCATATCAATCGAAGATATAGGGATGGAAACGTAGTCAGCGATAGTATTTTATTTCCAAAAGCTATAAAGAAAACATAAGAAACGAAGTATTCTTATGAAGTTTTATAATCTCGATCATGATCGAATGATTTTTCAGAGTCATCATAGAATTTTTGAAATATATTTGGCGACACTACATTGCTAAGAGTGTCTGCGCTTCACACTTTCTTTCATTCCTTGTTCGCCTACTTGATCGTACAATGCACGTTGTTTCTCGTCAGATAGTATCGTATCTGTAAGAAAAGATGTTTTTTTTTAACAAGCCATTTCTCATGGGTAATAACTTACATGCTTTCGTAATGTGTTTGATTTGTTCTGCATAGCGATCAATATATTTTGGCTAACCGAGTGTCAACATCAATGTACGATATGCTTTTTTGATTTCTGCTAGGCTGTAATCAGAATTAACGCCAAGCAAGTCAGCGTATTTCGTGTCTTTGACGATACTTGTAGCCATGAGTAAAAGAGCAAATAGTGGGATAAGATTGAGAACAATGATGTAAAGTAGCATGCGCACATGACAGATGTATGATGAAATATACAAAGAAGAATGGCTCAAGTCAATCGTTTCTTGTCAAAAAAACAAGCTATAAGGGTGCAATAACTAATGAGAGACGTTTGTTTTACTGAGTATGTCTTTTACAGAAATTTTATTTATAGAAAACTACTGTGTAATATATTGAACTTAAGAATTGAAAATACATTTCCAAATAATATATCAATTGCAACAAGTATGAGAAAAGTTTTTTAGCTGCTTTTCTTTTGATAAGCATTGAGTTCTGATTTTATGGACAGGCTTCATCAAGTTCATTTTTACAATATTTTTTGCAAGGAATCAAAAGTGAATTTCTATGTCATCTTATTATTACATTGTAAGACTCTGATCAAATTTAATCTATTGTAATTTTTTTGTGCAATCTTGTCGAAGACTTGCTTTGTTTTAGGTGCACATCATGTTGAACTACTTTGTACAACAATTGAACAATTGGTATTTCGCAGATTGTCTCATTCTGTGATTACCATCACAAAATCAACCTTCGTTTTCTATCGGACTTTGCTCTCCACTTTCATTTAAATGTGATTGATATTCGGTTAGACGATGATTTACACGTACTATTCATCTGGAAAATATTGAAACACAATCAATCCATCAGTTGAAAACCAATACTATTATTATGTCGATTCATCATCTGATCATGATCTGCAAATAGTCTGTAGTGTTCGCTCGTGAACGATATCTGCAGTAGTGTCCATCCTGAAAGTTGAATTGAATTATGAAGAATTTTTCAGATATTCAGGTATTCAATTATTCAGTTCAAATGTTCCGATTTTATGACAGAGATACTTTGTGTATATGTTTCTACGAACAGTCTAATATCTGATTATCTTAGCGTAAGAGTTGAATAGCTGATTAATTAAATATTTGAGATCAATAATTGAAAAGTGAAACATCTGAATTTCAGATTTTCAAATGTAAGATATAATAATTGAATTCAAATTTCAGGTTAGGCATGCTTGTTCATTCTGAGAAACCTCAAGGTCTTAGTTTGTAAGGGACAACAGTTAATATCAGATGATGTCACTGAAATAAATATAGTCGACGAGATAAATCTCAATGGAGAGATGCTAGTAGACTTCTATTCAATCAATAATATGGTTGTTGCAAAAATATTGTTCGATCATATGTTTGCACATTAACCATCATGAATGCCTCTAGAGAAAATAAATAACAGCATATGTTGGACTATCCTCTATTAAACAAAATCTTTCGAACTAAGTAATGTACACAATGGAAGAGCAATCGATATAGATCATTATCTTATGCGACCCAAAATCTAAATTCATTTCAAACTCTGGAAAAAAGAAAGAAACAAAACCGACTGCAACTTAATTCGAAGAAACCTCTGAGCACTATACTCAAAATATTTATTTTTTATTGTCAGAGAAATCTTCAACTTATAGTTTCTTTTTTCCTAGTGATAGTTTAAATATATCTATATCTAGTATATGCCATAAAAAGCAACAAATATCATTTTATCCTTCGTTCCATTGATTTAGCCATGATATTAGCCTGCTATATGCATCAATTTAGTCGCTTGCTCAGTAAGCTTCCAAGCACATCATCCTTTCTCTCGTTGAACTTTAGCATATACGTTGAGTTGTGTATAAACTTAGAATTCCATTAGGTCATACTTTTCTATGTACGTTCTATATTCTGACTCTATACTAGATCAATAATACCATTGCCGTACCCCGTTGGTAAGAAAACGTATCCAGTGATCGTTGGCCTTTCTTCTTCATTGCTAGAGACCAGGATATAGCCGTAGGAGCCTCGATTTAAACCTAAACAAACTATTTTCTTCAATAACATATGTAGATTTCAGGACAAATTGGACAGGAATTGTAATATGTATGCTGATTTTAGATGTCGACCTTATATGAATATGTAACATCATGAAAAAACCTTCGAAATTATCGAGTAATAGATATAAAAGAATTCTTTTGTTGATTATTCATTAGCAGTTTTAATTGCAATGAAAAAATCGAGGACTAGTCTTGAATATACTCTATTCTATTAATTGATGTTTGTTTTGGAGTAAGTGAAGGTAGAAAAAACCTTTAATCGAAACGTTTGAGAAGAATGGTTTATTGTTTTAAACTAGTGAATCAACTTCTTAACGGAAGGTTTTATTAAGTCAATAATTGATTTTAAAACAGTTCAATAGTGACATCTTCTATTCTCTATATCAAGTATATTCGTATAATTTACTACCAATAAAATATTTCAAAAGTAAAATTTCGAATGTTCAAAATGTATTACTATTCTAATCTTTTAATTAATCTAATAAATTTCTATGTCATCACAAAAAATTTATTCGACTTATTTCTTTTAGAAACATTTATTTTTCGATAGATTACTAGTTCTACTAATTTTTTCAAATTCTCTTTCTATTCATCATTAAACAATAGTCAAGATGAAATTTCGAGGTCAATACATTTCTCTTTCTCTTTTCCTTGGCTCGTTTTTTTTTCTAATATGCATATTCTTGATTTGTTTATTATTCTTATAAGTATGTTTGCTATCTGTCGAGGTAATGCAACATCCGCTATGAATACAACAAAAATGATATTATGCTCAAAGAAGGTCAAGGTTTGCAGTCGGGACAATAGACATTATCATATTGAATTTGAGCTCATTTATCGTTCTTCATTCTTTTTTTTCCTAACACATTTTTAACGAAAGAGCAAGGGTGTGTCATATTTTTTTGCGCAAAAAAAAAAGATGAATATCACTTTAGAAGTTCTTTTTTGCTTTGATCTTCCCTGTCTATTTTATCTAACAGATTTTTTTTCATTGATATCTAGATTTTCAAAAAAAAAAGAGCGAGAAAGAATCCAAGGGAATTGTACACATTCAATGTCAAATATTAAATCTCGTAATACAAAGAGCATACAGGCAATATGAGCATTAGTTCGAATAAGAAGAAGAAAAAAAAGAACATAGAGCGTATTATCATTATATTTGCGTTCTCTCTATTCTCGGGTATTTGCTATGTATGAAGGAGATGAAGAAAAAAAAACGAGAGGCAACTGGATTTTATTTTGTTCAATTTTAGTTCATTTGATCATCGAAACTGATCAATGATCAAGCCAATACATTGAAAAATTAACAGGTAAATAATTAAATTGGACCTTTTTTTTCCTTGTAATACATTTAATGGCAAAGTTGAATAAGAGCTTGTCTGTCCTTTATATAATCAATGACGTCATCAAACGCCCACTCTAAACATCCGATTATTCATAAAATAGGAAAAAAAATCGATGAATAATTTGTTTCATAAAAATAGATAGAGCTGCTCATTATAATAATGAGTGATGTCTTATTGTAACATTGACGCATAGGTAAAAAAAAATTACAATGTACAAAGATTTATTTACTATTATCAAAGAAAAAAAAAGAAGCTGCTGCAGCTGCTATGAAAAAATGAAACGGTTACTTTACTCATTTTTTTTCTCTTCTCCTCACCTTATTTCTACATTTATCGTCGTTGACTTTGACTTTTTCGTACTGTACACAAACACAAAACGCATTACTAAAACGAAAAAAAAACCGAAAGTGTGACATTGCAAGCTGAGCACATTCATCGAATTGTGTGCCTACTTGAAGACATAGAGACCGTATGTAAGAAAAAAAAACATCCCTGTGAATGCAAATAATATCTAATGGCAGAACCTTATAAAGCACGTGTGCAACAATTTTTTCAAGATGGTTTAAAATCAACGAAAAATTTTTTATCTGAACATGTTGATGCACGTTCACTTGTTGAACAAGCACAACGAAATGTAATAGAATTAGCTCGTAAAGCTGAACAACGATTACAAGAAGCTACAGGACGAAAAGAACAAAATGGCGTAAGTGTTCAATCAGGACTTTTTCATCATCATAGAAAAATAGATAGAATATCAACATCTATATTTTTTCTTTGCTAAAAAAAGTTTTTTTTTGTTTTAAAAGAAGCGTTCTCTATTTTAGAAAGACATGGGAAACTTCATTGATTCTGGCCGTCCATCATCAATCAAATCACAACAGAACCACGAATCTAATATAAAACCAAATCGGAATATCGTCGGTTTACCAAAAATAAGTACATCAAATCCATCATTTTTAGCACCAGTTGTTCTTCAACCAATTATTTCACCATCCGGTTCACCATCAACAACATTATCTGCATCAAATCGTCCAAAATCAAATCTCAATAATATACTCATAAGATCTTCATCATCATCAGGCGTTTCAAATTCATCATCATCAACAACTTCACCAGCTATTTCGAAATCAATCAATGATAATAGTCATTTTCAATATATTGCTATATTTGATTATGATGCACGAACAAAAGATGATTTAACAATAAGAAAAAGTGATTTACTTGATGTAACAAATAAAAAAAAGCATGGTTGGTGGAGAGCAAAAAATGAACATGGACAAGAAGGTTGGATTCCATCGAATTATGTTGCTAAACGAGATAGTTTAGAATCTGAACCGTAAGATTTTATTAAATTTAATTATTTAAAAAATAAAATAAAATTTTAATTGTTGTTTGTATTTTACTTTGTGTTATTAGATGGTATTTTAAATCGATACCTCGAATTGATGCTGAAAAACAGCTGATGTCGGATAGTAATGATCATGGAAGTTTTCTTGTATGTTATTATAATAATGAAATGTATATATATATTATATTTTGTTTGTCTTCTTCTTCTTCTTTAGATTCGAAATAGTGAAACGAGACCAACCGATTTTTCTTTATCGAGTAAACTATATAATTTTTGTTTAATTTTTTAATTAAACTAAGAATATTATTTATTATTAAGTTCGAGATAATGATTCAATAAAACATTATCGGATAAAACAAACAGAAGATGGTCGATTTTATATAGCACGTCGTATAGAATTTCCTTCTCTACCAGAACTTGTTGATCATTATTCCAAAACGCCAGATGGTTTATGTGTTAAATTAAGAAAACCTTGTGTACATGTAAGTATACTATTCATCTATATTTTTTTTGTTCTTAAGAAAACAAAATCATCTTCAATAGACTGTTAAACCTGAACCAGATGGTTTGTCACATAATCTTGTTGATAATTGGGAAATTGATCGTCGTGAATTTAAATTAATTCGAATTCTTGGTAGTGGACAATTTGGTGATGTTTGGGAAGGTATATGGAATAATCGTATGCCTGTTGCAATTAAAACACTCAAATCAGGTTTGAATTTTCTTCCATTTTTTTCCGACATTTATGAAAAAACAAGTATATATATATCTTTTAGGTTCAATGAATCCAACGGATTTTTTAGCTGAAGCTTCAATAATGAAAAAACTGAAACATCCAAACTTAATTCAATTATATGCTGTATGTACAATTGAAGAACCGATTTATATTGTTACAGAATTGATGCAAAATGGAAGTCTTCTTGATTATTTACAAAGTAAATTGGTGCTTTTTTTCATATATGATTTTTCTTATTGAATAAAGTTCTCCAGGTCGACAACTTAAAATGTCAATACTAATTTATATTGCAACACAAATTGCACGTGGAATGGCTTATTTAGAACAAGAGAATTATATTCATCGAGGTATTTGACTAGCTTATTGATTAGAGTTTTTTTTTTTCATAATTTACATATTTAATATAGATCTTGCTGCTCGAAATGTTCTAGTCGGTGACAATTTTACGGTTAAAATAGCTGATTTCGGCTTAGCAAGAATTATTAAGGTTTGTATGAAAAAAAAAAAAAAAAGATTCTCTCGTTTAAGTTCTATATTTTTGAAATAATTCGAATAAAATATGAAACATATTTAGATTGATGAATCTTTTTTTTTTTTTGTTCCTGAAAATATTCAATTGCTCAGTAACTCTAATTATTTGTTAGAATTTCATATTCTACGAATGAAAATTTAAAAGCTATTAGATTAATTACTCTTAATTCTATCAAAAATTTTCATAAAATACGTATAAATTTTAATTAAAACATCATTGATCATAAATCAAGTATACTCTTAAACGAAAATAATTCATTAATTTTAGGAATATGCCGGAGGTACGTATGAAGCAAAAGAAGGCACAAAATTTCCCATAAAATGGACTGCACCTGAAGCTGCACTTTACAATCGATTTACCATCAAAAGCGATGTAAATAGAATGTCCCATGGGTTTTTCTTTTTTATTGCTATTATTCTTTCAATAAATATTTATTTAGGTTTGGTCATATGGTATATTATTAACAGAATTAGTTACATTTGGTCGTACACCCTATCCAGGTATGACTAATGCTGAAGTACTACGAAGAGTTGATCAAGGTTATCGTTTACCTCAACCACCGAATTGTCCACCATCATTATATGCAATAATGCTTGAATGTTGGAATGCTGAACCTGAACATCGTCCATCATTTTTTGTATTACAATATCGTCTTGAAAATGAATATATAGGCGAAAATCCTGAATTCAGCAATTAGCATGCATTACTTTTTTTTTTATCTCAATCATTATTTATTTGCGTGTGATATATTTTTATTTTTTTTTCTTGTTGATATAAAATCTTCGTTTTATTTTAATTCAATCATGTATTTAGATACTATTTTATATAAAATAGGCTAAAATCAAAAAAAAGAAATACGAAATAGAAACATTTCGTCAAACGTCTCAAGCAGTTGTTTTTTTGTATCTGATAGTTTGTTAGATAATTGTTTTTGTTTTTGTGTTTTGTATTTGACCTTTTAATGTTCATTTCGGGAATATGAATAATTGTTTGTTTTTTAAAACCTATCTGCTTAATTAATATCAATTGTAGATATCTATTTATAAGAAGAGAAAAAAAAAACAAAAATAACTACTTGATGGTTAACTCTTATTTCTGCTTTTCTAGACTCTAATGGATTCAAATAAACATGGTTTTAGTCAATTTGGAAATCATAATATGAATGAATCAGTACCTGGTAGATAATAACAGAATAAAGGAATTTTCTTTTTCAAAAATGAAACTGTTCTTTGTTTTTATCAGTTCGTTCTACACCTGGTATGAATTCATTATCACCATATTTGAATTTTGATCCGAAATTATTGAATCGAGTAAATAAAAATGATTTTTTTTTAATATAAGAATTGTATACTGAGAATAATTTTAGAATGGATCGCAATTTATTCTACCTGAAGGACAAAAAGAAAAACGGGGTCGACTTGAATTAATGTTTTTTACAATTGGTGGTGCTGTTATTGCTGGTGAGAAAATGAGAAAGAAAAATTGAAGGATAATATATAATTTTAGTTTTTTATTTTTCTAGGTAGTATGATTGGTAGTATGTCAGGACTTTACCGAGGTATTCGTGAAACTCGAGATTTAACTGGATCTATACGAACTTCATCGTAAATATAAAATTAAAGAACTTACGTTTTTTTTTATTGTGATATTTTTCTTTTAGAATTATTAATTATATAGCACGGCAAGGTGCTACTACTGCTTCTGCTATGGGTACTATAGGTGAGATTTTTTCGAACGATGAAAGTGATTTGAAAAAATATTTTGGCATTTTTTCTTTGAAGCACTTATTTATAGTCTAATCGGTACAGGTATTAGTTGGACACGTGGTATTGATGATGAATTAAATACGGTAGCAAGTGGAAGTCTTACTGGGCTATTATATCGATCAACAGCTGGTTTGAAAGGTGCTCTACGAGGCAGCTTATATGGTTTCGGAGTATCATCGTTATATGTATTGCTTACGTCTAAAGAACGTCTTCAAATGTACATGTAAACCATGTGCTGTTTCTTTGTTATTGTTGTTTACTGTGTTTTTATGAAACATTAAAAAGATAAACAGTGTCCTTCAGGTTATTTGATTTTTTTGATTCGATATCTGTTTGATAAGGCAAAGATAAATAGTTTGTTGTCGATATCCATCATCATCAAACGAAATGATTAGTATCCAGTAAAGAATATTAAGAAAGGTCGTTAGTGTAGTTAATGGAACAAATAAAAAAAACATGAAAAATGATGCTAGAACATCGTTTATTGATGATTATTATTTGTTTATTTTGATGATATTATAATACGTCTACGTGGTATAATAAAGATTTTAGAATAGATTTCGATGATTGATGTTCAAGGCTACTAGTAATTAATTGACTTGTGTTTTTTTTTTAAGAAAAAAAGATAAATTTATCTTTTTTGAAATACTTTGCAAATAATTTTTTGTTTACTTTACTTCATAGTTTAAAAGCATGAAACAGATTCTATCACGATTATAATAGATTACATATTCATTAAACATTATTTTTAAAGTGCGTATGGAGAAAGCAGATAAGACTTTCTAGATAAAATTATAAATAATTTTTGTTGATGAATAATTTCAAGTTATTATTACTAAGATAAATTAAAATATCGACATATAAATATATAAAACAATTCGATTATCACTAAACATAGTGTGAATGTAATTCACAACCTATAATACTTTTATTAACTAGTGAGTTGATTGAAAGTATGAAAAAAAAGAACATTCTGTCATAAATTATGTAAATCAAAGTCTTCGTAATTTATATGCATATTGCACAACAGTTGACAAAGAAAAAGCACATATTTTATTTTTCTTTCATTCATTCGACATGATTAATTTTGTAGATATCGACAAGATAAATTCAATTGAATTATATTCCATAAACAATAAATAATTCTATTGTTCAAATTTCTTTTTTATTTATGCCTTTTTTCAAAAAATGAATATTCAATATTTAAATAAATCGAAAGAGAATAAAATCATAATCTACATAGTAAAATATATGCCAATTGAGTATCTCTAACGTAATGAAACTCTTCAAGAGCTTTATCGATTTTTCTCTATTTTAATGCATATATGATAATATATGCTGATTGTAGTTTCCATTCGGTTATACTAATAGCGTATCGAATGGAATCTTATATTAAGTAAATCTTCTTATTTTGTCATATTGTACGATGCGATACTCTCTTATATTCAGATGACAAAAAAAATATTTCTTCTAAATTTACTTTGAATTGATCATATATTTGATCGTGTTAATATAGAATTTTGGGTCTCGAAAGTAAATATTTAGATTATAGTTATTTTTAAAAGCACACCGAGATTTTGGTCTTAGTGAAAATATTGACTTTTATAACTGAACTACTGATTTTTTTAATGGGTTCTCCTCAATAGATTTGAGAGATTAGCATGAATACCAGATATTCTTTCATGGATTTTTTTTTGTACGTCATCGTCCATTTATGGCTTTATAATATAGTATTTTGATAAAACTTTTTATCATCGAATATTGTTTTATTGCTTATTTTCGTTTCATAATATAAAGTTAATAGGTTTTGACAAAATTATGTGAAATTTATTTGTGACGAGCATTTTTACTAAAATCTAAAATATATTTCATATCTATTATTCTAATCAAATCTTCATTGTAGTCACATTAAATTATAGAATTATTTCTATATTCTATTTTCATAGAAAATCATTTCGTAAACATCATTGTTTAAGAAAATGACTCTATTTTTTGAAGAATAAAATGGGCAATTTATTATGTCGAGAAAAAAAACAGTTCATATCGCTCAACAAATAATGATTCAATTAGTGCAAATAGAAAATATTCTGCATAAAATATTCCTCGCTAGGTGTAACAAAATAAATCGTTCAATTCAAATATGCAGAAATGAATAATCACAAGCCAAACAAACAAGAAGAAAACGATTTTTTTTCGATACACAGCAAGGTACATTAGGAACCAAAAAAACATGAACAAAAAGATCAAAAAAAAAGAAATTTCAAGTCAAGAACGAAAAAAAAATGTATGGCAAATAAACACTGTTCGATGTAAGACACTACGATACTCTCGATTAAGTGAATAAAAAAAAAACAAAAACGAAAAATAAGTGGAAGGAGAAACACTATATAGCACAATCTCGTCTAACTTATAAATACCCACGGATACAGCCAGAACTAAATGCAGCTGATTCATAGACAAAGATAAAGTATGAGATGACTAGGAGTCAGAGATAGAGAGAAAAAAATGAGGTCTCTATATGTTTTTTGTGGATAGTCATAATCATTTTTTTTGTGCTTTGTTTTATTGCGTGATCTTAATTTGACGATTTAATGCAGGTACACGATCATGTGGTATAGGTGCTTCAATAGTAAGTGTTGAATCTTCACTCATTTTAGCTCGCAAATTATCAACATCAACCCAATCTGGTAATACATATTCTCGCATATATTCACGATTAATTTGATTACCAGCTGTATTATCAACATGAGAAGCTTGAACTAAACAAAAACAATAACAAATAATTGGTTCTTTTGTATATTTAAAAATAAAAAAAAATGAAAACTACCTTTTAATACATTATCATTAACTTTAACACTAACATCATCGGGTTTATAACCACTTAAATCAAATGTAAGTTTAAGTTGTTGATCTCCAAATGAATATGAATCATTTGTATTAATATTTGTTGGCAAATTATATTGTTGTGATTGATATGTAGGTGTCAAGGGCGGTCGATAATCACGTACAGGAATTTCTATTGTTAGAACACCATCAGCACTTAATGTATTAGTTAAATTTTTTGGGTCAGCACCATCAGGTAAACCTATGAAATGAGTTTTGACATTAGTAAAAATACAGAATAAAAAAGATCAATTTACCAATTTCACGTCGAAATTCATGATGAGTTGAATTACGTCCATCACGTTGTTGTTTAACAGCTGTTACTTTTAACATTGTATCATTAACTTGTATAGCTATGTCTTCAGGTGCAAATTGATTTAAATCAAATTTATATGTTACATTTTTGATACCATCATTAGTTGAATAATTTTGTCTTGATGTAACTGTTGCAAATGTGCCCGACGATTGATTATTATTACCACCAACAAGAGTTGATGCTGAACTTGTTGATGAATATGGATCACGAAATGGACTGCTTCGATTAAAACTACTTGTTTCACGTAAATTAGGACCTTCTTGTCGAAATGATGATGATGATGATGTCGATGAATATGAATTTGTTTGATTATTACCATAGCCATAATTCGATAATGGTTGTCGTCCACTAGTAAATGTCGTATCAACAAGACGATTTGGATTTGATGATGTTAATGCTGATGAACCTGAAGCATTATAAACACGATCTAAAATAACGGGTGCCTCCATAGTAAGTACTCCATCATCAGATAAATACGATTGTAAAATTTTAACATCAATAAATTCTGGTAATGTTAATTCACGATTAAATTGTTTCGATTCAGTTGCATTACCAACTTTTACTTGACGATCACCTTTGACAATTAACATACGACCTTCAACTTTAACACTTAATTCGTCAGGTCGAAAGTCACCTATAGATGATATAATCCAATATTATTTTAAAAGAAAAAAACGAGAACTTCAAGTTTTTTTGTTTTATTTTGCTTACCAATGTCAAATTGAATTTTAT